GGTTGACCCTCACCTGACTTTATGACCATATCAAACTACTTTGGGGGAAACCTCCTTCCAACATCTCCAAACTCTGCCCCTTTTTTGACCCAGTCAGATGCAGAGAAGCTTGTATCTCCTCAAGACTGGACTACTGTAATTTGGCAAGAATATCCTGAAAGTACAATACATCCAAAACAGCGTTGCCACGATCCTGATGAGAGTTTGGAACTATGAATACATAACACACATCCTACGCTCACTACATTGGCTCCCTGTCTCATTCCAGATTGACTACAAAGTTATACTACTCACCTATAAATGCATAAATGGATATGCACCTCCCTACTGTATCTGCAAAACCTACTCACTCCCCAAACCTCCATCCGCACCCTCAGATCTGCAAGGAGCTCGCTTCGCAGGGTCCCCAACACGCAGGGTCCCCAAGCTCTGCACTTCGATTCTCAATGCATAACTTCCAAGCCAAGTGATTCTATATTGCTGTGTTTGTATGAAAGCTAGTATCCATGGGGTGTGGATGTGTTTGTCAGGAAAAATATTACTAGGTCTGTCAGAATAAATCAACCTATGGAGAATCCTTAGATGCCCTCATGGTACAGCAGTCAAATACTGTCAAGTACTGTTTTTGTTAAATCAACAGCCCAGAAATGTACAAGAACATCCATCCATCCATCTTCACACCGCTTATCCTGCAAACAGGGTTGCGGGGGGGGGCTGGAGTCTATCCCAGCCAACTTTGGGCGATAGACAGGGTGTTAGGGGACACCCTGAATTGGTCGCCAGCCAATCACAGGGCTAACACAAGAACAGTGTCTCAGTAATACATAGAGATCATCAGGAATCAAAAAAGGGAGTGGTAGTGAGAGGAAAAATTGAGATGGAGGTGAAGAACTGGGGAAGAGGATGTAAGATGATACAATAAAAGTAAAAGGTTGTGCAGATAAAAGTAGGCAAGCTGAAGGAAAAAGAAGGGGAGATAATAAGTGAAGGGGGAGGCTATGAGAAAAAGGGGGAGAAACGAACAAACCTCAGAGAATGGAAAGCTAGAGGGTGCCATTGAAAGCATCAAAAGTTCTTTTGTGTTCCCTGGAAACATATGGTGCTTCCTGCTAACTCAAAGAAATAATGCATCAATTGAGGTTTGCACTGCAAAAGGAACTGAAGAATACAGCAGGTGTTTGGAGACTGTCTGAGATTTGAAGTGATGAGAACACAGACAATAAAACCCACCTTGTGTCCCTGATGGATAAATGGCTCTACTTAACACCTGGGTCTTAAATTCTAAACACATGAATTGCCATTGCAACTGCAACAACAGTTTGCAATTGTACCATACGTGATACCTAGCTTACTACCTATGCATGATTAAAATAAATGTGTTACACCCTAGATGTTACAATTGACAGTGTAGTCTAACTTTTACAGCTAATGTAAAATGGTTGGATTTTATTAGCTTTGGGCCACAAGTACAAAGACTGCTCAGTGTGTTAACGAGGTGTTTAGCGGATTACACAAATTCAAAATATCTATGTGTGCTTGCACTGCATAGTATCAATACCAGTATGATTTATTTTGAGGACAAATAATTAAAATGTCAAGGATAGTCACAGGAGGACTCAAGTACACATCAGAAGATGTGTTACATCTTCTTTGGGAATCCGAGCTAGGCAGTATTCCTATTACCTGTATTTAAAATATGTATTTTAATTACTTTTGAGAATTTGTATTTGAAAGGGCGGATAAAAATCTTAAGTGATGTAACAAAATACTAGTGTCACGGTGCTGATTTTATGTCATGGACATGGCTGACAGCGTACCTGGTGGGACCTGGAACCATTTTGATGATATTAGAGTCTAGCCTGTTGTTCAAGTGGGGAGCATCAAAAGTTCATTTGTGTTCCCTGGAAACATATGGTGCTCCCGCTAACTCAAAGAGAAATAATGCGGTATCAATTGAGGTATGCACTGGATCTTTTGATGCAACTTTTGATGCTTTCAATGCTTTCAATGGCACTGTGACAGGTTTAATGTTCAGAACAGGCCCCCTCTAGCTTTTCCATTGAGTGGGGAGCATAATAGAATAATAACTTTAACTAATACAATTTTTGGAAGGTAGAGTGTTTGCTGGTGGTTGAGTAACAACAGGAGGGTCAACAATTAGGGTCTTATTCTCATGAGAGGAGGATGCCTCATATTCAGGGTCCTCCTCAACATCATGCTCTGTCTCAGACACATTCTCCTCTATGTCACTTTCGTGATCAAAGAGCTGTGACAACACCTTATTGACAGAACATCTTTCTTTAGAAGTCATTTTCAGTTGAGGGGGAGCAGAATAATAAGATAGATGCCGGTGCTGCGCAAGCTTTTATAGCACTCACAGGCGGTCGGTCTCATAGTAGCCCCTTGTGCAATTTGTTACAAATGTGTAGTTTGGTAGATTATTTGATAATATACTGCAGCTGCAGATTTTGTGTCTGAACTGTGGACGACCTTATATGTTTTATACAGCTAAATTGACCCCAAAGAACACAAAGCGATATGGTTGTAGAGTGTATCTTAGTGACAGGCGAGGAGGGGACGTGCACAGACTAATGTAATGTATTGCCTTTGCGTCCTTCCGCCGTATCTTAGCAGGGAAATACACAAATTCAGCAATATTGGCTATACAAATCGATAGAATAATTGTAATCATACAATAATTACATTTATATCACAGATTAGTGGACAAATATTTATTTTTGACTGTCCACTCTAAGCCGCAGAGCTGCTTGAGGCAACTGTAAGAGGTGGAAGCTGGTCTGCAGCTGGTGCGCTCTCTACGTTGCTCCCGGATGCGGTTATCTGTCGGGTGGTTAGGGAAATTAGAAAGTCTAAGCGGTCCGTCTCCTCCTTTGTCACTAGCTCATCGCTGACATTTTCCGCTAACCCGTAGACAAAAACACTTTACAAGCCTGTGTCCTCTCACCCAATCTCGTTTCCTCTACAAATAGTGTAGGAACGACAAATTGGTGACTCTTTCTCCCATAAAGCTGTGGCCCACTGAGCAGCCTTTCCCGTAACTAAACTGGTGATGAAAGCAATACGAGACTTATCTGTAGTGTATGTAGTTGGCTGCGGCTGGAAAACCAGGGAACATTGCAGGAGGAAAGCAACGTCCCAGTGTTGGTATGTACGGCTCCTTGTTTGGAGGATAAACTTGAAAAAGATATGACCGGGAATAACATTGGTTATTTCCCTGTCTGGCGGCAAACGTATCTTTCCGATTGAAGATGCACCCCTACGCTTCAACATGTACCTTTTTGATGGTCATTTTACCATTCAAGCGATACAACGAAAATATGGAAATACTGTAATTTACACATTTTTTGTTTCAAACCAAAACCGGGGCGGCCGTTTTCGTTGTCCAAACAAAAAAACTACCAAGTTGGATTTTCGAAAATTCAAACAAGTAAACAAGTCGTGGAGGGATGGCAGATTGCAGCCGATCACCCTCTCTGCAGAGCGGATGACACGCTGCATGCTGCCCGTGTCCTTGGCTGTGGCTGCAGCGTCTTTGGCAGGTTGAATTTCCTCAGCTGCCTCCGGAAGGACAGCCTCTGCTGAACCATTATTCAAATTAAAATCTTCCTCTGAACCATCCGATTGGAACCAGCTTTCCATGGATCATTACTGGGCCAAGTGTATCAAAGGTTCTAAAAGCTTGTTGAAATCTCATTTAGCTTCAAGATACACAACCGAAAACACTCATCAGAAGCACACACCAGCAGACCAGCATTAACCAGCAACCGTTTTTTAGCAGGAATATGTCCACAAACCCCGTGAACTCTACCCTGAAAGTGTGATTCCATTCAGTAATTTGGGGGGGTGGGGCTACAAATGCAGCCAACCACAAATCAGATGTAGCCAATTGGTCCCATGACTAACTGTTTGTAAATAAATGTAACATCCAAGCACAATTAAATTGAACATTTCAAATTATTTTAGATACAAATATGTGGATTTCTACATTTATTGGTAACTCAAAATATATCTGCGTTAGATATTGATTTGGCAACAATTATTTCCCAATACATCACAATATTGATTTTTTTTAATCCTTCAGTGTGCATTTTGTTATTGACCCCAGATCAAACCATTGGGATTTATGTTTGTATGAATCTTCAGATGAATTAAATGTAGCCACACAATGACAAAAGACAGGCAGCCAAGGAATTATGAAATGTCACGGTTTGTATTTGGAAGGATAAATGTCAATGTTGACATTACTATTAGGTCATGACTCAATAAGCATCATAATCTATATCATAAATTAATTTAAGTCAATTATTAGACATATAGGTAGCATTTTGACTTTTTGTTTTCTTTGTCTGGCTTACACATCACTTTAATGCGGATGCTTTCTCTTACTTTTATTCAAAGCCTGTATCGTCTTATTATAAATGTGTTCTCTAATAGGATGTCAAAAGAAGAAATTACCACCTGTGGACTTTTGTATATTTACATATAATTCCCCCCCAAAAAGAAAAAAGGGCACGTTTGTGAGTCAGTGATGTTTATTTGGTCGTCATGTCACTAGTTAAGTTTGTGGAGAAAAAGACTCGTTATATCTACAGAAGTAAATGTGAGTCTGCATTGTTTCTGGAAGGAAAACCAAACATTTCTCAAACACATTTTTGTATTTTATACAAATTACCATGAAGGGCAAATTCGATGCATTACATTTTTCTGATTAGCGCTAACTGGACTCTTAACCAATAATATCTAGGCCGAAAATAATTTGTATGTAAATATGAATAAAAATGTCCACGTGTCCAAAAACACTGCCTTGATATTCAGAACATTTGGTTTCTTTATATTCTCAATGCTTAAATTGTAGGAGGTCTGATGCTCTTTAGCAACAAATACCAGTCGTCATGTAAAAGCAACATGTCTTTCACCCATCGCTGCAGAGTGGGCTGATGAGTTCTGTGGTGTAAATGGTGTTATTGCTGACAGCCCAGACCAGTTCACCGCTTCCACCAGTCGCTTCTGAGGAGAGATGATGCCTTTCACTGGACTCAAATTCAGATCATAGGTGCAGGCGGCAACAGGGAAGGAGGACTTTGATGACTTCACTCAGTTGGGGGGGGCTCCTGGGGTTCCCGATTGACTGTCAAGAAAAGAAGACTATCCAGTTATCCAAGGAGCACGGTGATGTCACAGCTCATCAACAGCCACTCTAACATAAAGATGTCCTTCATTCAGAAACACAAAACAAGGACTCATGTGATGCCCAGTACCATACTTTTGTGAAATAGTATAATATTTATCTTAACTTTTTCATACGGCGGGCCCATGAGGGTGTGCCAAGTCATATTCACAGGGTTCATACACATTTTGACCAGTGGATTTCCATAACTTTTCCATGACTTCAAACTAAATTTCCATGATCCAAATAAGTGTGAAATCTCAGTGTATACATGTATATGTACAATGTATACATTGTACATATACAATTCAGTCTCAAGATGTTATATTTATACAATTATCCACTATGGATGAGTATCGTTTGGGGTTTTCCTGATACCAGTGCTAAAACGATACTTATAAAACATACCGGTGCCTAAACCAATACTTGTTTTCCATTATTTTACTTCAAATTATGGACAATACATACATGTTCAATACATGAACTGTTAACAGTTTACAGATTGACACACATGACTTTTCCAAAACTTTTAGGATTGTATTTCTTTCCAGGACTTTTCCAGGCCTGGAAATGACCATTTTGAAATTCCATGACTTTTCCAGGTTTTCCATGACCGTACGAACCCTGTATTCATCTAACAGACCAGAGTAAATGAGCAGAATGCACGCCCAATAACAGCACATCGGGCTTCTGGGTGTTTTCATGCATGAAAGTGGCACACAAGAATAATAAAATAACTTTACATATAGCAGTGGATTAAGGGAGCAAAGGATGGGGAAAAACCTACTTGGAGATTCCTACTGTCACTGAAACTAGTTTGATATAAAAATATTTTTTTAAAAAGATGTCCGATTGAAGAGTGCACGAACAAAAGAACGCCTTCTATAAGAACACGCGGGTTTGGATAATAACCAACTGCACAGGACTCCTACGACCGAAGTGACGGGTACTTAAGAGAAATCTAGTTTCCTCAACACTGTCCTGAAAGTCACTTGGTTTGTACAGTCTTTTTTTGGGCCAGCACCATGACTGAAATGGCTCATCTTGGCGGTTAAGAGTAAGCAGCATTCCATCATATGTACCTTCTTCTCGTGCCTTCATCCGGGCGACAAAGTTGTAGCTTTTGTTCCTGCGATAGTTCTCATAAGGGTCGTCCAGTGACACCCCAACACCTTTAAATTGGTCCCACTTATCCCTGATGTCTCCTCCTTTGATGGGGTCCTGGATCCCCTGTTCTTTGGCCCCCAAACCCCCCGAACCACTCCAGCCTAGAGCACAACAACACAACAACAGCAAGCCATGACTGTATACTGCATGTGGTTCACATGTACATGCCTACATTTCAGGAGACCATCAGATCACAAACATTGCCAATATTCTAAAGCATACCCATCTTCATGAGCAGCTGATGGCCCTTGTTCTCTTCGCCGAGCCTAATGTCTGCAGATGGTTTGGAGGGAGCGGCAGCCGACACGGATGTGGAACTGTAGAGAGCAGGAGAGGTGGTAACCTGAACTACAGTGGGCATGAAAATGTTCTCTCAGGAAAACATCAGCGGCAAGTACTTACCCAGGAGAAGAACTCTGGGTTTTGGGGCCATGGCGTCTCTTTGCGGGTGAACGTGATCTGGATCTGGAGCGAGAGCGACTCCGACTCCGGGATGATCGGGATCCACTCCTAGACCTGATTAAGGTAGGTTACGTAGATTACTGGAGCAGTCCCGCTTTGTACTTGTTTTTGCATTTTCATTAAGGTGGGGTTTATCAAGGGAAAACAATACTTCATTTGGGGGAAAGGGAAAGAAAAGAAATGCAAAAAAAAGAAAAACAGAAGGGTCATGCTCCTGGCAGAGGCCAGGGAGAAAAACACACCAAACACAAACCATTACCTGTGCTACACAAAAATAAACAAATACACACATGACAAAATATTTGCAACACACAAACAATGTTGTCATTCAGGTCAATCTTATATTTTGTCCAACTGACAGATTATAGTTTTATGCCGCTGTTCTTGTCATAACCTTTCTTAGACTTTGATCAAAGGTTAAATTTCAGCCCAGTTTCCTACAGAAGGTGGGTCGGGTTGTGACCATTTACGGGTAATTGCTTTCTATGCTGCTACTGTTAGTATTTTTAGGAGGTACCTATAATTTCCTGTTATTTCTTCTGGTAGATAGCCTAAATAGAATGACTTGCATGTGAATAGGATCCGGTGCCCAAGGATCTGCTGCATAGTTCTCCAAATATTTTCCCAGAATACCTGTATCTTGGGACAGGCCCAAAATATATGATGGTGGTTTGCTCTTTTTCCCGCCACGTCTTCTCTAGCATGTTTGGTTTATCTTATCTTAGGTAAGTAAGTTTGCATTTCTGGAGATAAAAAACGCGAACACGGTTCTGGTCCTGGTTCTGGTGAAAGTAACTTAGACTAGTCACATTTATTTTAAAAATAGAAAAGGCTCTTCCAAATCTTCCATAGTACGGTCATCTTCCACATGAGAAGAACAGATCCGTTGCCAGTAGAGTTTTAGAACCCAGCTAAAAAAGGAAGTAGAAAACAGTGTTGCACAGTTCCCATTGCTGATTTTCTGCTATTTTTTTCTCCCATCTCTCCTTAATATATATTGTATACTGTACCTCTCGCGATTCCCTGGTAAACCTTTGAAATCACTGATTTGGAGCCTCCTTTGTATACACCTACTGTTAATTTAATTATTTGATTCGTTTTTTTTAATTCCCCTTTCATTCATTTCTTTTAAAAAGTACTGCCGTACCTGTAAGTATCTGAAAAAGTTGTATTTTCCCTTCAGTATATGAAAATGTTGTTATTCATTATTGTACAGTAAGCAGTGTTACCTTTATTCATCCAGTACTTGAATCTAGCGTCTATACGGTTTGGTTTGAAATCGGAGTTTCTTTAGTTGGTTCCATAGGTTGAGATGAGGTATAAAATCAAACTAGGTATATAGGATAAATAAAATAATGGGATTCAGATGATTTCTATGAAATAGCATTAACTTATGGTCTGCAATCATCGCCTGCATTGGAAAACCTTTGCATTCTTTTTCTTTTCCCTTCTAAGGTTAGGCAGAGACATCCCGCCTCCCTCCTTATTAATATATTAAGATATTTGTCGGTCTCAGTCCTGGAATTGGCTGGTTGGGATTTTGACGGGTAATGCCATGAACAGATATAGTAAACTAGGCAAAATGTACATCTTTGCGATTTCGATTTTTGCACTTATACGGAATAGAAGTGTTGACCAGTTACTTAGATCTTCTTTAAATGTTTTTGTTTACAATGTCGTAGTTTTTTTTATACAGATCACTCTTGCCGTGGGTTAACCACATCCCACAGTATTTAATTGCCTTCAGAGACCAATTGGCAGGTAGTCCTTGTTTTAGAATTGGTGGTGAGTTTTAATCAAATATTTTTTTTGCATGTTTAACTTGTATCCTGAGATCTAAAAGATTAAGGAGGCAGGTATCTGGGTCTTGGATGTATAGTAATACATCATCAGCATAAAGTACTATTTTATGTTCCTTATCGTTTATCGGGATTCCATTTAAATAAATACGTTCTCTTATTACTTGTCCCAAGGCTTCTATGTAGAGTGCAAAAAGGGTTTGGGGAGGAAGGGCATCCATGACGGGTGGATCCAATTTTATGCGATCAGTAAGAAGTCCATTAATCGTCATTCTAGTGGTCGGGGCATACTCAAAATTTAATCGCGAAAAAACGAAACGTTCTAAGACCGAACACAGATATTCCCAACTGACTCGGTCAAAAGCCTTTTCTGCATCTAAACTGATCACCATGGCGTTTCTATCTTCTATGATATGATAAGATCGTCTACTATTATCTTGAGTTTGGCGTCACCGGACAAAACCAGTTTGATGGTAAATTAGATCAGGGATAAAAGAATCCAGTCTCCTGGAAATTATGAATCAGTAGTTTGTAGTCCTGATTTAAGATCATAATTGGCCGGTATGAGCGGCATAGCATTCTGTCCTTGCTAGCTTCGTTCCAGGAGGGTGGAATTTACATTTTCTCGTGTGTCTAATTAAAGGAATTCAGGAGTACTGGAGTCAGTTCCTCCTTAAAAAGGTATTCTACCATTCTGCTGGTAGTCCAACGCTTCGTGGTGTCTTATTGTCTTTTCATTACAGTATCTAGTTCTTCATTGGTAATCTGTGCTGTCAGGTAGGCATTCTAATGTTTTCCAATTGAGGGTAGGTCTATAGCTTTAGATTCCTGCTCTGGCTGTGAGTATAAGGTCATGTATGCCCGGAATGAGGAGTCAATTATAGTTCCTATATTGCAGTTCCGGATCCTGTGTCTATCATTCTGAAATATAGTCTATCCTTGAGAAAACTGCGTGAGGTGCAGAGTAGTAGAGTGTAATATTTTTCTGATTAGCCCTGCTTGGTTCATGGCGGAAGCAGCACTACGCTATGTTTCGTATAAATGTGGAATATGTGTGTTGGTTGACCTGGATCGGGAGTAGGAGCGAGACCGGCTGCGGGAGTGGGAGCGGGATGATCGAGACTGGGACCTGGAGGACTTTGAGGAGCGGGAGCTTGAGCGAGATGAGGACCTCCCTCTGCTGCGGGAGTGACTGCTGGACCGACTGCCTCCGTGACCACTGGAAGGAGGTGGGGGAGAGAGCATCACATTGTGGGTCAGCTGGGCTCCGATTTCATTCCACAACAAGTGGGGACGGTTCGTGGAGCTGTGAACAGGATGAACACTGCCATAGCAACGTGAAAGCTTGGACAGACACATACAAAGTGAAGCTCACCTGTTGCGTTTCTCCTGTCCTTTTTTCCTCCGGGCTCTCATCTTGGCCCTGAAGAACTCATAAAGTCCGTTCTGCTCCCAGCCTTCACTGGAAGAGAAATAAACACAGCTCGCTGAAGACTACGAACAGAAAACAGCAGCACGACACAGAAGCTGCTGAACAGATCTGCTACTAATCGGACACATGTCAGAGTACTGGAGCAACAGACTGAGGAGCTTCGGATCAAACATGTTTTAACACTGTACCTCAACTGTCTAATGTAATGGTACTATTTTATTGACCTGCAAGGTGATCAGGTGCATTTGGAGTTGTACGAACCGGCCCAGTCTCAGTGTTATGTTAATTAACTCAGTTAGCAAAAAATACCACGACTTCAAAACATATTGTACACAACACTACAATCTTCTCCGTTTCAGACATTAAACAACCAAGTGGATGCACACCCATCTCCTCCATGCACTTGGAGGAGCTAACATTTTTCTCCTTCCGAAGTGGATCATGAAGTACATATTACCTTTTTCATGCTACGTGTTCCCGCTTCGGCAGTCGTTGAGAATCAGTTCAACACTTGGGAACCGAGATACAACATCTCCATGGACAGCAAGAGTCTACAGCCAAACCAGAGCTACAGCCATGGAGCACCTGACGAGAGCAGGTACAGGTGTACCACAGCTCAACGCTGTGTTGTTACTACCAAGCTGCTGCTCCACCACAGCGTTCTGCTCGTTCTCTTTGCAATGTTGGAACTCTAAATCCTCGTTTATTTTGTAAGAAATAAGGAATAATGTCATCTGTTTTAATAAAGAGTATGTGCAGTGGAAAATAGTGAAAATGATGCATCATTACTTATAATTGCATCGTAGCACTCTGAATGGAGATGTGCTGAGAGATCCCCACCACTACTGGTTGGTACCACTGCTAACATGTCAATGACAACAAGCATGCCGTTAAAATTTAAATTACTGAAAAGCGGGAGCATGTGACTCCTCTCTGCTCCAGGTATTTTGTTGAAACCCGTCCTCCAAGGTTTAGCCAGATGCACGCTGTCTATTTGCATCAGAAAAGGGCTTTTTCAAAAGCACAGCTGCAGGTCAGCTAGGCTACGCTGTATCGTAATGGGCTAATGTGCGGCGAATACCAATGAGGAAGAGAATTGTCAATCCTGCCTTTGACTTTGATCAAAATTGATTTCCTGATGAATTAAAATAGTCACATGCTGATCATCATTACTGAGAAGGCGACCCCGAGGGGTGTGCTGGGCCATTGCTGGAAAGAGAACTTTTTACTGGTTATGAATGTCAAAGTGACGCCTCTGAAGAAGGGGCTCCCCTGCGGTCAGATCTCTAGCAGGGGGTAGAGAGCAGCTCTTCAACACTGACACTACGCAGCTGGAGGCCATGTATTATTAAGAAGGAAGAGGGCTACTTCATAGGTAATGTCACAGTGCTTAAAGTCAAACCTGCTGATACATCTAAAACTCCGCGGCAAACTGGGTTCTGTAAATGGAGGTTAAGAATGATCTTTATTTCAAAAGGCAGTTAAAGGGGTGGTACAATTAGTATTTTTGAATGTAATGTAATTTTAAATTCTGTCTGATTTGTCTTGCTGAGAGTTTACTTGTGTGTGTGTGTGTGTGTGTGTGTGTGTGTGTGTGTGTGTGTGTGTGTGTGTGTGTGTGTGTGTGTACCTGTTCCTAGGCCGATCATGGGATGGAGGGCTGTAGAAAGCTTCCACAGCGGCTAGCAGCCGATCACTAGGCGGCATGGGGGGGGGCAGCCGGATGTCTTTGGGGTCCAGCGGTTTATAGTCACAGTCCTCCAGCTGAGCAAGACACAAAGAGGAAACATGCAGGTTAGAGTCCAATTCTAAAACTCTTTGATTAGATTATTCAACTTTATTGTCATTGCACAGGGTACAAGTACTGAGGCAACAAAATGCAGTTCAACATCCAACCAGAAGTGCAAAATAGCAAAAAGTGCAGAGTATGTGCATATGTAAGTGTAATAAGTGAATAAATAGATATGTACAGTAAGAAATAGTTATGCAATATGAACAGTAAGAAATGGATATACAATAACAGTGCAAATGTTCAGTGGCTGGAGGAGGGTGTGGCAGTCAAGCCAGGGTGGAGGGGGGGGAGTACAGTCACTGAGGGAGATGTGTGTGGGGGTGGAGGGCAGAGTTCAGTAGAGTGACAGCCGCAGGGATGAAGCTGTTCCTGAACCTGCTGGTCCGGGAACGGAGCACCCTGTAGCGCCTCCCAGAGGGGAGGAGGGCAAACAGTCTGTGGCTGGGGTGAGAGCTGTCCTTTTCGATGCTGCGTGCCCTCCGCAGACATCTCTTGCTCCGGACAGCCTCAATGGTGTGAGGAACCGGTGATGCGCTGGGCAGTTTTCACCACCCTCTGCAGTGATTTACAGTCCGCGACAGAGCAGCTGCCGTACCATACTGAGATGCAGTTTGTAAGGATGCTCTCTATGGTACAGCGGTAGACAGATGGGCCTTCTTCAGTCTCCTCAGGAAGAAGAGACGCTAGTGTGCTTTCTTTACCAGGGATCAGGTGTTGAGGGTCCAAGAGAGGTCCTCAGAGATGTCGACACCAAGGAACTTGAAGCTGGCGACACGCTCAACCTCCGTCCCGTTGATATGGATGGGGATGTGTGTGCCAGTTTTCTTCCTGAAGTCCACAATTAGCTCTTTGGTCTTCTTGGTGTTGAGAGCCAGGTTGCTTTCGGCGCACCACACCGCCAGGTGCTGGACCTCCTCTCTGTTGGCCGACTCATCGTTGTCACTGATGAGGCCAATCACCGTTGTGTCGTCTGCAAACTTGACAATGGTATTAGAACCGTGTACAGGTGTGCAGTCATAGATGAAGAGGGAGTAGGGGAGAGGACTTAGCACACAGCCCTGTGGCACGCCGGTGTTCAGGAGGTGTGGTTCTCTACCCTAACAGACTGGGGTCTGTTGGATAGGAAGTCCAGTATCCAGTTACAGAGGGAAGTGTTGATACCCAGGTGACTTTGGAGGAGATGACAGTGTTGAAAGCTGAACTGAAGTCTATGAACAGCATCCTCACATAGCTGTTGTTATTGCCCAGGTGAGAAAGGGCGGAGTGTAATGCCGTGGAGATGGCATCCTCCGTCCTCCTGTTCTTGCGGTAGGCAAATTGAAAGGGGTCCAGTGTGGGTGGTAAGCAGGTTTTGAGGTGAGCCAAGACCAGCCTCTTGAAGCACTTCATGATGGTTGGAGTGAGTGCAACTGGGCAAGTCATTTAGGCTCACTGCGGTGGAGTGCTTTGGCACTGGCACGATAGAGGTGGCTTTAAAGCACGTGGGGACAGTAGCTTGGGCTAGTGACAGGTTGAATATGTCAGTCAGGACCTCAGCTAGCTGCCCAGCACAGGCCCTGAGCACGCGTCCGGGACGCCATCAGGGCCAGCAGCCTTACGTGCATTAATCCTGCTCAGTGCAGCACACACGTCGGTGGAGGAGAGTGTGAGGGGCTGGTGGTCTAAAGTGAGCGCAGCCTTGATGGCGGCCTCCTGGTTGTCCCTGTCGAAGCGTGCATAAAAGCTGTTAAGCTCGTCAGGGAAGGAGGCATCATTGTTTTGGGGGGTGGTGTTGGTGGGTTTGTAGTCTGTTATGGCCTGGATGCCTTGCCACATGCGACGGGGGTCGGAGCTGTTCTTGAAGTGCTCCTCAATCCTTAGCTTGTGGCAGTGCTTGGCCTGCTTGATGCCCCTCTTCAGGTCAGCCCTGGATGCACTGTAGGCTTGAACATCACCTGATCTGAAAGTGGTGTCTCGTGCCTTCAGCAGTAGGCGGACCTCTTTGTTCATCCATGGCTTCTGGTTGGGGAAGGTGGTAATTTGTCTTTCCATTTGGAAGATGACAGTACTATGGAAGATTTGGAAGAGCCTTTTGTATTTTTAAAATAAATGTGACTAGCCTGTAAGTTACTTTCACCGTGCCCCCAGACGGTTGTGTGAGGCAGTGTTTTATCGCACTCTACCACAATTTCTTTCTCCTTAATTGCAATAATGCAAGGCTTTCAAAGTTAAACCAGCAGGTCCCCAACAAAGTGCAAGGGAATATTAATAGCTATAATGATGTTGTTAGCGACATTAACTATTGGGTCCCTCCTGTTTCCCACTGAATAGCCTTAGCTGAGTACGTTGTCTTTTAGGTCTCAGTCCATTATGCGACCACCAGTCTCAATGAACACCATTGCCGATTTGTTTATTATTGTGTCATAAAAAAGAATCATCAACATGATCATCGTGTCCGAATTATGGGACGTACTTTGACTAGTGGAGCCATGAGGCCAGCCGGCAGGTCGAAGTAGGGTACGTTGGGCACCAGGCTGGGGTCGTCTTGCACTGGCTGCTGACGATGACGCACTTGGGGGGAATGGCCATTGAAGCCGTGTGGGGGTGGGCCAAAATCTGGGTGCTGGCCTCCACCCCACGGAGGATGCTCAGCTGCCATACTTGGGGGAGGCAGCCGTTGAGTGGGATGGTGGTGGGGGGGACCCGGCATGTCTGGCAAATGGAATACACGAGAGGAGTAAATAAATACAACAGGTGAAAAAATGAGTGGCTGTCAATCACTCGCTGCCTCGGGACTCACCTGCAGGGTAATCTCCCTGAGCATAGTCGAAGCGGTGCGGGGTGTACGGCGGCCTGTCATAGTGGTGTCGCGGAGGAAAGTCGTCCTGCATAAAGCGGGGTGGAAAGCGTCCAAAACTGTGTGGTGGTGGTGGTGGTGGTGGTGGTGGGGGCTGGTTGAAAGGAGGTGGCTGCTGGTGTGGAGGGAAGGGCCCTCTGAAATGAGGAGGTCTCTGTAGAAAAGCAGGTGGGACACAGGGCAGCAAGGGAAAATAATTATAAACGTAGAGTAACAATGCAATAAAGAAATCGAATTAAAGAAATAAAAGCAAAGCTAGTCCATCTAGAACATACCTGGATGCGTGGAGGAAACTGAGGCTCCCTCTGGCCCCATGGGGGCTGGTCAGGCTGGTTCCCCCATGGCGGCTGCTGGTCATATGAATTCCAAGATGGAGGACCTTGGTCAGGGCCCCCAGGGCCGCTCCAGGGGCCGCTTTCTCTGGGTGGACCTCCACTCCAATTTCCTGGTTCTCTCTGCTCATTCCACATTCCCTCGTGGCTGGTCCAAGGAGGGCAGGGGGGGGGTGGCTGGTTTGGGTCAAAAGGAGGCTAGGGAAAAATAAGCGAATAAGAGAAGGGCCTGTACATTGTGATATACCGTCACAGGAAGGTGGGACCCACGACGTCTTGTCACAGTACCACCACCCACCACTGTGGCTACATGAGTGCACAAGGTGGAATGCAGGCATTACAGTAAACTAGGATAGGAACCAAAGCTGCAGCTGACTGCTGTTCACTTTAACCTTTGGCAGAACGTGCTGACAGCAGCTACTCAGACACTGTAACGCTTCTGTACTCTAGTTACTCTAAAGCTTGTAAAATGAATTGTCATCAAAAGCAAATGGTATAGCGCATAGACCTGATTGGAGGAATGCGTGTTTCTACTGAAATAATGTTCCATTTAAAAAGTTCACTGCGCAAACACTTGTAAATATAGTTTACCGGTTGGTTGGGGTTCCAGGGGCCCAGGTGCTGAGTGTCGTACCACCCAGGCTTGTTATTGGTGATATCGGAAGGCCCACTGGTGTCCTGTGGTCTGGATGAAGCCCCATCAAACTCTCCTGGAGGAAGTACAGCCATGGGAGGCTTCACACCACCTGCAACCACAACAACATAATGCAGAGCAAACATACATTGTAGAGCAGATTACAGACCAACAAAACCGTAACAAGATTTGAAACGTCTTTCCACAAAAATGTTGAGTAAGACCTAACTTGTATTTTACGCAGTTTATAGAATCCCAAGCATTTGGGTTTTTCTGCAACAATAATTGCATTTATGCACCAAGCCTTCAGTGTGTGCCTGTTCTCACCAGCTTTGGTGCTCAGCGGCGGGGCCTTTTCAAGCTCAGCTCGGGGAGCGAGCTGAGCTGCCGAGGCAGAAAGCGGCTGCTGCTTCAGGCTGGCAACAAACTCCTCGTGCTGGGATTTCAGAGCCTGGATCTGCTGCTGGAAGGCCAGTTGGATGGGTTGCACTGCCACAGCATACTCCGTAATCAGAGACGCCTGAGAGAGGGACGTTATCTGACACTTAATCAGTGAAAATCATGACTCCACACAGAAAAAGGTCCTGGGTTCAAACCCCCCCCAGCAAGCTTTCTGCGTGGGTTGTCTTTGTGCTGCCTGGGGGCTAACTGGTGACTCTCCTGAAGGTGTTTGAGTGAATGGTGCGTGTGCGTCTCGGTCGGCCCATGTCTTTGGACTGTGGGAGGAAGCCGGAGAACCCGTAGAGAACCCACGCAGACACGGGGAGAACATGCAGACTCCACACAGAAAGGCCACTGGGCGGAGTCAAACCCAGGACCTTCTTGCTGTGAGGCGACAGTGCTAACTACCACACCACCGTGCCGCCCTAACAAATTCATCAAATACTTTATTTTCTAGGTTGACCGTCAAATTGTGTGAGATACTTTTGAACTTGTATGAAAAGGCATGATTAGTTCATGTACTTACTTGGTACTGCCCGAGGCCCAGGGCTGGATTCTGGAGCTGCTGAATGGTCTGCTCGTCAAAATAGCCATTCTTCTCCCACAGCTGCAGCAACTGGGAAGGGACAGCAGCTTCAGTAAGTATCCCACCCACGTTTACAGAATTGATAGATCCTAATTATTTGGAGAATAAGAGTGTTCCATGATGTTAATAAAACTGTTTAAAGTGCTCACCCTGGTAATCTTCTGCTGTTTCTCCTCCTCCACTGCCAGAAAGCTAGTGCAGTAGATGGGAACCACAACATTCTGCAGAGCGGCCAACAGATCCTTCTGCTGCTTCCGCTGGCTGTGAACACACACGTGGACGCACATTAGAGAGGAATATATCCAATCGCTTTTTAATGCCCAAGTGAGCCTCATTATTCAGGATGGGTTTTATTATTGGGCCGAGGCTTTACTGGTTGGAGATGCACTTCTCAGCTTTAGAGGCCGACCGGTCACATTGAAGTGTGTGTGTGTGTGTGTGTGTGTGTTCTGTGTGCCTCAGAAGTTCAGCAAACCTCCCAATTCAATTTTTTCACAATTGATCCTGCATGTTTCATTTTGTAAATGTTTGTTTGATTCTAACACTTTCAGTGTATGTTGTGTTCACAAAATATACACATTCCACTGAGTGGAATCAACTTAAAAAAAGTTAATCTGCAATTGGTACTTAATAACCAAAACGTATGCTGGTCTAAAGTCGTCTTAATACTGTTGTATTATGTTAAGGTGGGTTATAGAATAGTCCATGTGAACATATTTTGGTTTGCGTACCAGTGATGGAGAACGTCATTGGTTAAATAGATGAGATGTAGGCGGAGCTCAAAATGCGCTCCATCCGCAGTGATGCGGTTGCGAAGATGTGATGTCATCAGTTCACAGTGGTGTGGAGTCTTGGCGTTGTTGAACATCCAGTTCTTACCCGCCTGACCGGAAGACAAACATGAGTGAGCCATCAATATTTTAGGGATGTACGAACATAAACGTCCTTAAAAGAGTCTCAAGGGCCGGCTTACAGAGATGGCGTCTTTGGTGCAGGTGTCTATGATAGGCTGCAGCAGGTTGTCCAACTCTGTGATGTCCAGTTGAGTTTCTAGCAGCATTTTCTGAGTGCGCTGCTCCATAGCCAGAGCTATGGCTGCACTCACTTGTTCCTTTATTAGAAAGATAAAAGCATCAGAAAAGTCAACCACTCTTCCACAGTCTGCCACTGCACGTCTTCAAGGGGAATGGGAGCTGACTGGTTGGAACCAATGGTAAAGGAAGACCAGCGGTGGCCCAGGATGTAGAGCCAGGACCATTGACCACAAAATTTTTCATTCAATTAATTCTGTGTAGTCCCTAATTCGCCCCTAATCACTAATAAGCCTTGAACAGGGGTCTCAAACTCGCGGCCCTCGGGCCAATTGCGGCACTCGGGACGATATTTTGTGGCTCCCACCGTAATATGAAAGTTTAATGTTAGTACGGCCCGCGAACAGAACACAAGTGCCACTTACACCTTTAATTTTACCTACACCCCCCCCCTGTCGACCGTAGCGTTCGCCATTCGCCACCCCCCCGTCAACCATAATGGTTCGGTCGAGGTGGGCTGCATCTGGCTCGCACCTGAATTGAGCTTGAGACCCCTGGCCTCGAGGGTTCATTTCTAATTAGTTTCAACAGTTAATAACAAAGTGACCTGTACCTAATACAGACAGACTACGCAGTTCATATTTCTTATATTTGTTGGTCTGTATCCCCTGGTATTTTCAAGTGGTATAATGTCATTTTGAAATAGATTACAGGCGAGTCATTAAGAACAGTAATACTCGTACAGAAGGAAATAATATATGAATAGGTACCTAGGTAGTTTTATTAGGTTAAGAGCGAACATCGTTCCCTTATTCCCTCACTTAGAACGCTCTGAAGGATTTAGTAATATGTAGTTTCAGATTGAACCAACTAAAAAACCCTCCGTCCTCTCCAAGCTACTACTCCAATTTACTCTGATCAATACTGCGTTAGAAATAAGTTTGTGTGTGTAGTTGGAGGAGTTCAGCCTGAAAGAGTGCAGATGAGATGCTCACTGCAGCAACATAATTACACCAAAACTTAGAAACTAAGAACACAAATAAAGTCACGGTTCATCGCCACACACACACACACACACACACACACACACACACACACACACACACACACACACACACACAGAGAGAGAGAGAGAGAGTTTTCTCTAGCATTATATTGGTGGGGCGCCCCCTCCACCCCCCAGAAAGTCTGAAGGTGGGGGTAGTTTTAGGGTTCTGGCTGCTAACGCTCTATCTGTACCTGTCGGAGTGTGTGCAGGTGCTGCTCCTGCTGCTGCAGGTTCCATTGGCTATGTTGGATGAGCTCATCAAGAGACGGCACTGCGGGCTGAGGAATCATGGGCAGCGTGGGAGGAGGGATATCAACCACGTCTTTGGTGCCTGGGATGTACATTTCTGCAACAAAAGAAACAGGAAATATCACATTTCCATTAAAAGTACTTCATATACACAAAAATATTTCAATGTAAGTGACCTCAAAAAGTTCTAATAAGAGGTTTTGGCTTATACACAGCAACCTGATTAAACATCTCAAATATAAGTGAAAATAATTTAAATGATATGCAATCAGCGCCAACATAACACTACAGAGGTCAAGGCGTCGAGGGAAGGCGCCAAAGTGCTGTAAGGACATATGTTCCAACCTCAATCAAAAAGATCAGAGGCTCTAAGGTAGCACACACACACTAAGGTACACCTTACTAGTAAAAGCTTGGACCCCCCTTTGCCTTCAGAACTGTCTTAATTCTTTAACATGTTGTGCTTTCAGATGTCTTCTGCATTCCTTGCTTGTAACGAGTGGTTATTTGAGTTAGTTGCCTTTCTATCTCTACAACCAGTTTGCCCATTCTCGCCCTGTTTGGTGGAAGAGAAATCTGACTATAACCCTAAAAACACCATCTCCAACGTGGGGCTTGGAGGTGGAACGTCGTCCTGGGGGCGTCGCTCTGCTGTGAGGACACCAACTCAAGGGTGGAATGGACAGGGCCATGCACCGTGAAAGGCTGAGAGACAACCTCCTTCCTTCAGCCGGCACACTGTAAAGGGGTCGTGGATGGGTCTTCCAGCACCACAATGACCCACGACATACTGCCAAGATACCCCGTATCAGCCGACCAGACTTGAGCCAGTTACTCTAGCATCAACATACCAGATAGAGGGGGCTGGTGAAGGACAAGGAGAAGAATAGTTGGACGACAAAAACAGGAGGAGAGTTACGCAGTTAGCATTGGAATCCAACGGTCAAAGAAATGTATAAACTAATGTGTTGTATCATCACCTCGTTAGAGTCTCTCCGGAAAGAGCTTAGTTTATTTGAGTGTGCCAATAAACCTCTGTGAATGGAAGAATCCAGATCTCCAGTGTGCTCAATGGGTGTGTGTTAAGTTAACTGAAAAGTGTGGGTCCTCATCTCGAGTCATTTAGATATAGTCAGTGAGTTAGAGAATAATTGGATAATAACTAACGATAGTTGAAACTATGAATAAATGAATCCACAACACAACGAAGGAGTGGCTCAGGAAGAAGCACATTAAGGCCATGGAGTGGCATAGCCAGTCGCCAGACCTTAATCCCATAAAACGTTTTTGAAGGGAGCGGACACTTGCCAAGCGAAGCAAGACTGCTGACCAACTACAAGAAAGGGCTGACCTCTCTGCTCCACCAAGTACTGAGGCATGTTTTCTTAGGGGATCAAATACTTATTTCCCACAGAAGTATGTTATTAGCGCCCAGGGTCGTTCCTGAAGCACGCCGATTTAATAGAATACACAGATGATGCTGTGATATTATAGCTTTGCTCATATAAGCATCAGTCCTTCCTGACTCTGTCTGTGTAAACTGGACAGCCTGAATCACGGCTTTAATGTCTACACATTGGTCCTTATACGATTCCACGTCTGTGAATGGTCAGATGCTGCAAACTCCGCCCCTTTATACGAACGAGAGCACGAGCAGACAGTTGATAACCAGCCTTTAGTCTCTTCTTTGTCTAATCAACATACAGCATTAGTACAGAAAGTGATATCATCAGTAAAACTTCTAAAAAATTGTTCACAAACTCAAAAAAAAAAAAACTAAACTAAACTGCTAGTTTAGTTTTTTTTCTTCTCGGAAGATAGATAGATACTTCCAAGCCTTCCATCTATCTATCTATCTATCTTCCGAGAAGAAAAAAACCTAACAGTTTAGTTTTTTTTCTTCTCGGAAGATAGATGGATACTTCCAAGCCTTCCAAGTGTAAATTGAATTTGATGCGGACAAATCTGGTTCCCAATAAATACCTTCAGAGTTATACTCCTCCCCATCATGGGCAGAAGGATCTAAGTGAAGAAAAGGAAATGGTAATACAGTAATGCATTTTAGTGGTATCACATGACTGACACAATAATGTGCCAGTAGAAACAGGCGGACAAAAGCCAGATTGCACTGATCCAACAATTACGGTTTACTTTAAGCATCACAGTGGGACAAAGTTTGACGATTTTTATCTGCAGATGTATGAAATCAAATATATGTATCAAGTTGTTAACTCACAGAAACAGTGTACTTATTCACAGTTACTGTTCCTTAGCATTAGTGAGTTACAAAGAGCACTCCCAATAAGAGGCACAGTTCAATCAATCCCAACTCTGCTTTCAAATAGAGATAGGGCCCAGAAGATGAAGGAAGCGTCTTGTTTTTATCAAATACTTATTTCCCACAGAAGTATTTTATTAGCGCCGAGTGATTTACTGCACTGTAAATCACAGCATCATTTCCATTCAGTTGCGTATTTTAATTAATTTCCTGAAGGAATAGCATACATCACCAAACATTACAACATCGCAAACAGATCTATGTGCAAATTAGGGTTTTATGGTCGACTGTCCTTGTCACTACATACGTCGTTGGTGCTCCAGAGCCAGCTTGCACTTGTAGTAGCTGAAGTAGTCTCCCCCAAAGAGGAAGGAGAACTTGGGGTTGTCCTTCTGCTTCTCCATTGTCATCTTTTCAAACTCTGGCCCGTTCCGAGCGACAAACTGGGCCAGCTTGTCAATGACATTCCTCAGTTCTTGATCTGCACCAGGAAAAAAGAGGCGGCAAAAAAAGATAAGAGCTCAAGCAGCTGGGACAAGAGAAAACATCCAAAACGCAGCAGGTAATGTCGATAATTCATGCTTCTCTGAAAACATACCGTTGTTTTGTACCAATCTGAATAAGATTAAAAAGTCATAAATGTCCTATTATGGAATAACTCATTGCTTGTTTTATACACCAGAGGCCTCATTTATAAACATTGCATACGCACAAAAGAAGGCGTACGCCGCTCTCTACGCAATAATTGGTATTTATAAAAAGCAAACTTGATGGAAAAATGTGCGGTCCTTCACGCAAGCTCAGACCCATGCGTACGCACAAAAGCGGGTGAAATGAGAACCGTCGGCAAATGCAAGAAACACGCAAACGTATGTGAAAGTGTAAAACTAGACGTGTGTAAATGAAATGCCAATACTGCCTCTCATTACACAAACACCCGTTTGATCGATCTGCAGCGTAAAACAAACAGAAATACAAATTCTTCAAAAAGAAAAGTGAAATATGTTCTGCAATAATATTGGCATGTTATACAATTCATCCTCAAAACACAGCTGTTGCTTGTCAGATGCAATCAAACGGACGGTAATAAAATGTCATGATGCCATCACAATGCGCGAAATGGCTGATCCAAACGTGCCTCGACCCCCCTGACGCCGATGGCTGTGTTGGCCCAGACCCAGTCCCCGATCCCCAATCATTGCCGCCAGTCGCTCATCAAAAGGGGACAGCTCTGGTGTCCCCTTTCTCGACCCATGGCAGACAAACTTTGGCGATGGCGCGCTAAACGCTTTTTTGCATCCACTTTAATGTCAGACCATTTTTTCTTTATTTCGGCCACGGTCCGAGGTTGTGAGGTTGCAGCGTTGCTCTGCAAAAAGCATTTTACTTCTCCTTTCCACCTCGCCAATGATCACTTCGACTTGACACTGAGTGAAGTTACGTTTCTTCGTTTTCCTCTCAGTGTTTGTCATGATTTCGCAATCGAATATTAATTTGTGGGCGTTCCACAGACTATATATGGGCAACTATGGGCGTGACACGAAGCCGCGAAAGCTGCGCTGCATTTAGAAGTGATTGTGATTTATTAAGGGAAAACTGCGTAGGACGTGCGTGCACACGGTTTTAGAAGTCTGAATATTTCTGTGCATACGCACGTCCTACGTTTCATCCGTATGCCACTTCTGGCGCAAATCCTACGCAAGGTTTTATAAATGAGGCCCCAGCTGAATATAAAAAACATTTTTATAATTAATATGAAGCAAAGTCTAACTTCACAAATATAACTGAAAACGGTTCAAATCTCAATCGAAGCTGTGAAAAGGGACATATTGCTTGAGGCCTCAGCATCCTCTTCGTTTGCCTTGGAAAACAAGAAAATATTTGTACACTCGCATAGTAAGAAGGAGTTTCAATGAGTACTAATCTCTCAGAAAAACCAAAGAGGCGCAAGCTCTGTTTATCAACAAGAGATGGACATGTCAGTTGCAATATGTGCTGTGGATGCCCACATTTAAGTGTACAAGAATCCAACAGTGCTGCCAAAACTAAAACAGGTGGAGGGCCGCGAGTCTGAGGGACACAAAGAGGTGGAGGCTCGGGAGCCTGAGGAGACACACTGAAACGGGTGGAGGACCCGCGTTTGAGAAGGGAGCATCCTCATTAAGTCCACACTAATGTTCTACGTCCATGAGTCTTAGTCCGCGCTACCCTCGGCCCATAACGTTACATTAACAAATTAACGCTTTAAGAGGAAGAGGGGGGTACCAGTAAACTTGAATGTAAAATAAATGTAATCAATTCAGCTGTGAAAGTAGGCGAATGTTAAATTTAAGAACTAACGTTCCAGTTACCGATAACGACGTTTAGCGTTGCGGTTAGCTATTGCGCTACAATGCTAACGTCTATCATTGTGCATGCTGCGCTGGTTTATTTAAGCACCGGGAACCGTCACACACACACACACACACGCATAACGTCGGTATGTTCACATGCGGCTACTGGTGTTACGGAGTTGGCCGAAAGGTTAAGTTACATGCAGGAGTAATGTATTTTGTTGAATAACGTTAGCTAGGGTAGCATGGTAGCTAGCTAGCGTACGATGACAATTGTACAACGTACGGTTAGCTGACGCTAACTTAGCGTTACGTGACGTTACTGCTCACCTTCGGGGGCATTGGGGATATCCATGATTTTTTAACGTTACGGTAGATCCGTTGAAACCTAATAGATCAGACCATTCAATTGATATTTTACTACTTGATTTAGATAATTGACCAGAAAACAGCGTTGTCCCAGTAACGTTGACCGGAAATAAATTAAATTCCTTCAATGACGTATGATGACCCGCCCTACTACGCTTTTGATTGGCTAGAGGTGGCTCTTCTTCTGTTGCTGTTAATGGTGGTTGGCAAACGCCTTTAGGTTGCATTAGCGCCATTAACTACTCCGCTTTGTGGACTAGACCAGTGGTCCCCAACCACCGGGCCGCAGACTGCTACCGGTCCGTGGGCCATTTGGTACCGGGCCGCACCACAGGAAAAAAAAAAAAAATATATATATATATATATAAAAAAAAAAATATATATATATATATATATATATATATCTATATTTATTTTATTTTTTTTCTGAAAAATGTTTTATTTTGAAAATTGACCGGCTTTTATGTGCGCTCGTCCCTCTGACATATTCCCCACGCGTCACCAGGCGTTTTTCTTCACGTTTACAATCGTCCTCTTACCGTTTACAGTTTCACCCACCAGTGTGTGTGTGTGTGTGTGTGTGTGTGTGTGTGTGTGTGTGTGTGTGTGTGTGTGTGTGTGTGTGTGTGGCGATGAACCGTGGTCGTTCCGCCCGCAACGACTACCACACTTCCCGTTATTCCGCCGGACCTTGACCGGTCCACGAAATATTGTCTGACATGGAAACGGTCCGTGAGGTAAACCAGGTTGGGGCCCACTGGACTAGACTGTTGATACGCTCGCTTCCGTTGCTGTAGTCCACCTTCGTTGTGAGTGTTCAGAGATGGTATTCTGCATCGCTTGGTTGTAGCAAGTGGTTATTTGATCTCCTCTGACCTCGCACATCAACAATGCATTTTCGTATATTTTGGGGATCATTCTGTGTAAACCCTAGAGACGACTGTGAAATCCCAGTAGATCAGCAGTTTGTGATACTCCACCAACAACCAACGTTCAGTCACTTAAATCCGCTTTCTTTCCTATTCCAATACCCGATAACAGCACTTTGAACTTGCAAGTTGTCTTCACCACGTCTACATGCCTAAATGCATTGAGTTGAGCCATGTGATTGGCTGATTAGCAATTTTTTTTTTAACAAGCAACTCAACAGGTGTACGTAATAAAGTTAGTGTACACTACCAATACCTACTTATTCCAGTGTTTCCCTTCCTTTACTAAATCCACTTTGATATTTTGACCTAAAATTCTGTGTACATTCTGTGTACATTCATTCCGGTTTATATTCTAAAAATCTAAACCATTGAGTAATCCTTTAATGGACTACAGTCTCCTTGCATTCCACTGCAGAACATGTGAACATGATTATTTGTTCAACCTCTGATTTTTTTCCAGCTCTTCCTGAACAGCATTCCTCGACATCTATTAGTATTTATAGCTAGCTGCACTGTACTATTTTTTAAAATCTTCTTAGAGCCCCTATTGCTTAAAATACGTAATTAACTACCACAGCCATGAAATATATATCACAATATTAAGATGTTCATTAGACTACTGAGATGGTTCTTTTCATAATATATGCCCCCTCCCCCCACTCTCCTACCTTCAACTTATCTCTCCCGCTCATTTTCTTGGTGAATGTCTAATTCAAATATTTTTTCACCTTTTAATGCGTTTCCTAAATTCTACACCCTTTCCGCCATTGAGATACCGTAAAGGCCCATGACAGAGGGTCCATCACTAGTCTTCTTTGCTTTCTCATGTACCATGTTGCACACTTTCTGCTTCATTGCCTTCTCTCTTCTCTCCTCGTCTCTACACCTGATCAACAATCCGCCCTTCTTCATCCCCTTTGCCATTCAAATTTCACCAACTTCCTCCTTCGACTCGCAAGTCAGCACCGCCCGTCCCACCTTCCTTAGATCATTTCCTTCTTTAAATCTCTTCATTACTTTGAACCCCTCATTCTCAACAATCCACCTCCTTGTCGGTGTTGAGTATTAAAACAGACTGAGCTCATTATATACCCACCTGACTCCAATTAGCCCAGTCATACCATTACATTATTACGTTATTACATGTCATTTAGCTGATGCTTTTATCCAAAGCGACTTACAATAAGGCGCTTATGCACATGGCAACATACGGTATATACACACTAAACATTTATAGAATTTTCACAAACACAAAAAATCATCATTTCTTTACAAATATTTACAATCCCTATAAATATAGTCAATTGTAAATATAGGTTGGTACTTCTGCTCTAGTCCATGCAAAACTATTTTGGGCGAAGACCCTGGGAAGAGGAAACAGGCTGGTGAGCTGTTAGCAACTGTAATATAGCAAATGTTATCTTTTAGCTCGAACACCACTGCTGTGCCACTCAATTAGTTACAGAATCAGGATTCCAGAGGATATGGATTTCAATGCTCACTATCTCCTTCACTGGCATCCTTAGTTCAGTCACAGACCAATGTATCCGCCGACCCCACTTCTTTAAACAGAAATCCAGGGTGACAGAAACATGTGCAACAAACTGTCAAGTAGACCACTCGCCTACCGTTTCTTCCACCGTCAGTTCCACACTGTCAAAAGCACCCAAATCCTGATCTCGCCCTTCTCTTTCTTTCTCCTTTTATTTAATAGCGGGTGGAAACTGTTGTGCATTACAGCCATCTATTAGTGGAGCCTTCTGAGAACCAGGATAATACAAACATAAAAGACAAACAGTAATAAAAAAAAAAGAAGCGGGTCCCTCCATTGGCCAACGTCTTCAGGCTGAATGGGGAAGTCAGCCTTAGCATCATGTCCATACATTACATTACAGGTCATTTAGCTGACGCTTTTATCCAAAGCGACTTACATTTTTAACACATGGTTTTTACATTTTGCCCGGGGAGCAATTAGGGGTTAGGTGTCTTGCTCAGGGACACTTCGACATGGGACATGGAGCAGCCGGGGTTCGAATCGTCAACCTTGCGGTTCCCAGCGTACCCTCTCTACCCCTGCGCCACGTCGACCCTTGTCTACATATACGTATTTAATAATAATAATAATAATTAATTAATTTGTAACGCACTTTTCACTCAAAAGAAGCACAGAGTACAATACCGTATTACAAATATAGTTAAAACAAACTTCAATAAAAAGAGAAATAGCTGACATTGATTCAACGCAAAGTCCAAAACGCCTTCCTGAATAAAAAGGTTTTCAGCCCAGTCTTAAATGAGTCCAGTGTCTGTGCTGATCTGGAATATGAGGGAGAGTTTAAACAGGCCACAGAGGAGCTATTCTTATCTTTGGCCAGGAGGTGGTACTCTTTTCTTAAAAAGTGTCATTTCTACAAACCATGTATAGCATGGTGTCCTTTACGCTTCTATTTGTCCCCCTATGTTCAAACATCAATAGTCCACCTTGTCAGAGTGATGAGAAGCAACCTCTCAATATTTTGGACAAATTTTCTCATTCAATTGATTGAGAAAGTGTGTCCAAACTTTGGACTGCTACTTCCCACCGCTGTTCAAGTAAGCTTCCCTCCCCTTCATGGTTTAAAAAGGCCCAGCAGAAGATGCACTTCCTGCGTGACACACTTCTTCATGGTAGTAATCCTGTCTGCTCTTTGCACACATTACTATGTGGGTCAGAACACAGCCAGCAGACAGGACAGGAACAGAGTACATTTCCAGAACATCCTTGGTACCCATCTGCCATTAGCCATTAGTAACATCGGTGAGATAGATACCAGTGCTAGAGGAAAGGGATTTTAAAAGCCATCTGGTCTGAAAAGAGATTCAGAAGAATCAGCTGTCCAACGAGCAGACATCAGAACAGCTTCTTTCCTCTGTGAGGAAGTAGTACATTACACATACAAGGAATGGGGCTTGGTGATTGGTGCAACAATAAAAGGTTTTTATTGATTTTTAATTATTGGTTATTGCATCATAAAGCTTTATTGTCCTTATTGTAGATTGAGATGCAAAAACAACCCAGAATCAAAGTTGTGTACGTGGACACGTGCTGACGGTTCATAAATTAATAAAATACATATAGGTGTACACCAAAATACAGCCATGATTCTGAAACTGTGTAATCAATAAAGTAATGACAATATTGTAGCACCACTGTGATTCTGAAACTGTAATCAATAGAATAATATCAATGTACAGTTATGATTGTATTTAATGTGATGGAATCAACTGGAATGCATGCATGTAATACTTGCACAACAACTGGTGTTGACTGAGAGACATTCGAAATCCGAGTTACATTGAACTCACCAGAAGACCACTCCCAGAGGTGTGGACATTAAATTTCGCACTTTCACAGATTGGTATAAATACCTGTAGGTAACCCATGTTCTCGGGTTCGCTGGCGGAGGCAGCAGACGGGCACTGCGGATGGTCAAAGGACCCTGTGGCCTGTTGGCTGCAAAGACCAGCGGCTCCTCGGCTGAGATGTTCTTTTTACCACAACACCCTTTCTTTTATTAAATACTGTTGATTTTAACCTTTGTATGTACGTCTGACGTTTCTTCACTTTGAACACAACAGCTACTAAGACTTTAGATTCTGGTCAGAAAGCCCTCTAAAATTGCTTGATTAGTGACATTACGCATCTTGATGTTTTAACATTTGATTGTCAGTAACTGAATGAAATGGAAGAACTGTTGCAACTCCAGTTTCCCTACGATTTGAAATGGCAAATTGGTGGTGCATTTACACACCAACCCTGTCACAGTGGCCCCAATCAGCCTTGAGTGTGTGCGGCGTTGCCCCTGGTGACGCGTCTTGGCCCAGTATTGTCCCGCCCATGCTTGTCAATCTCGGCCAGTGATTGGCTGCCAGGAGCTACCCAGTGCCGTTGGTTGGCTTGGCTAGCTGTCTGTTAGTTAACGGGATATATTTAGCTGATAGCCTTATCGGATCAGATGTAACCTGCAGCCCAACAATATAGAGTTAAGTACACATAGTTTATGCTGGTCTCATGCAAACATTAGCTGGGAAACTAGTTAGTCAACCAGGGAAGCTCACTTGAACCCCAGCTTTGTTATTTCAACACATCCTGGATTTTCTGTAAGTAACGATAACACAGGATTCAAGAAATGTCTTCAGATGAAGACAGGGCCAAGGAGATTTTGAAGGGCTTCAAACTGTATCCTTTCTGCTGGTGTTCTGCGAAGGTTAGACACGTAAGTTAACGTTAGCTCTGTTTGTCTTGCTTGGTACGAGTTAACGTCATCTCATATAAACAACATGCTCGGGGCATTTGAATAAGTAGCATTGTACAGTAATGTTAGCTGCTGTGGCTAACCTGCCACTTCCACCTGTCATTGGAGGAGGCCAGCCGATATTTGTCTTTGTGGGACGAACCGGGGAGAATGTTCTCTTAGTTCCGATACAGCTGCTGCAAAGAGAACGTGGGCCTGCTGGCTCGGACTACTTAGCCCGGCTAGCTTGGGCTACTTAGCCCGGCTAGCGGGGGTTAGTGAGCGTGGCTAGCCAAAGTGAACTACCGTTACGTTACTGTACGTTAACGTACTGTGACGTTGCCGTAACGGTAACGTTACGCACAGTACCGCGAAGCTGTGTGACGTCATGGAAGTGAGGCACTGCTCCCCCGCGATACCGTGCGCGTGTCCTGTGCGTGTACACGTAGAATTAGTAGTTTCGTTACATTACCCACTAAAACCTGTATGCTGACATTTACGGTGACGCATTCAAACGGCCCAGATCAGAAAGATCAACGTGTGACCTGAATTTGGTGAGTTAACGTTAGAAAGAAAATAGAACTTAACGGTTCCTTAAACTACACCGAGACAAAGTCTAGCTATAGCTAATTTCTCAATTATCCCACACATGTGTTTAAAACACCTCTGACTACTCTTTACTTTACAAATATAATTCTCCAAAATTAAAGTGACTTCAAAAAGGTACTTTCTCGATATTAAGAACAATGAAATTACTTTCCACAATGAGTTAAGCTGCTAAGTCTACATTTATTCTAATAGTTTCCTACCCACAGCCTCAATAAACACTTCAATAAACACTAGTGCACAGATACAAGTCCTCACTTGGGTAAATTCACCTCAACAACACACAACTCAGTCTTGTCTTCCATGTAAAGCTTTGAACTCTGCAAGGAGCATCATGTGAAAGGCGCCTGTGTGAGTTAGTAAGTGTTGTCTGTTCTTTGCCAATCCTGTGCTCTGCTGCAGCAAACTGCTCATATTTTGGGTACCCAGTTGTGAGTGCATGCTTTGGACGTCTCTCACTTTCTTTAAATACCCTTTTATTGCCTCTTTTATACCACCGCCGACTTTGCAGGTACGCTCCAGGTGACCCGGTTTGGGCCCCTTGTGATTATATAACGACCCCCCCATCCACTCCTCTGGTTACCCACCAATATTTAATCTATGTTGTTTGTTATTTTAGATTACAACATGTCAGCTCCAGGTTAATGGAACACATGTCTATATCAAGTCAAAGTGAGGATTGTTGTTGGTTGTACCTTCTGATGCAAATACACTTCTCGACACAGGACCAAACTGTTATCATTTGTTCCTTTTCCCACTCCATGACCCAAGAAAATGAGAGTAAGTGATGAGAAAACATGCTGCAGCCCAACATGATGTTCAGCAACGATGAGCTGTGTGTCAAAGCACCCCTCTCTGTATCATTGGGCAGCTTGATATGGAAGCTGCTTGCTCCTTTCAGAGGAAATAAGAAGTTCAAAGCTTTATATGGAAGACAAGACTGAGTGGTGTGTTTTTGAGGTGAATTTACCCAAGTGAGGACTTGTATCTGTGCAGTAGAAGTGAGGCTGGGGGTAGGAAACCATTAGAATAAATGCAGACTTACCAGTGACAGCAGCATTTCACTGGGGACTCATTAAGTTGTGTGTGTTCTGATGGGACCCTAGTGGTTTACACACCAACCCCTCAGCGGGCCCTCAGGAACAGCCGCTACCACCTCATGTCATGTTGTTGGGGCTCAAATTGATTGCTGCACGGGTGTTTTTCTTTAGGCCACTTTGTGTTTTTTAAGGTATTACTTGATTACATATGTACAGTTAAATGTGTTTGATTCATTCCGTGTTTGATCACTTTCAGTAAGGACTGGTAAAGGAGACGTCACGTGGACACGTGAGGAGGACATTGTGGTGCGGCTGGATTATTGTGGAAGGTGTGCAGGGTGATGAGTTTGATGTAGCAGATTGGATTAAATTGGATTTAGAGGATTAGAGAAACCTTTCAACTCAGCATACTTACTAGAAGTGGGGGATGGTGAAAGTGGTGCAGCACTGATAGGCATGGAATAAACGTGTGTGTGTGTGTGTGTGTGTGTCAACGAGTTAGTGCCGGGCAACAATTACAATCAGCGAGCATGATTTTCTGCGAATAATAATATTGTCTTGAGCAAAATGTCAAAATAAAGTAGTGTGTTTACTTGTGCAAACACTTTAAACAATTAGTGGACTTTCAAAAACAATAATAAATCAAATGATAATGCGCAAATACATCGTCAACGTTAATTATAACACAGCAATAACGTTAAGCTGTTTTTTTTATTATTCTCCAAAAGAAATGTAGCTCAAACATGTAGTTTCAAAGTTCCTGTACAGTAAATCCCAGCTGAGTACTCCGTGTGGGACCACTGGACTCTGACAGGGACACCTGCTACGGCACACAGGTTATTGGTAGACTCATAGGTGATTGATAGATAGATTGTTGATAAATGGATAGATTAACGATAGAAGGATCTTTCTAATCGCAGAAATTCATGCGATTACAAATGTTAATCGTTGCCTTCACTAATATGAAGTGACACACTGTGATAATCCCACAGTCAAATCATAAAGTACCATTTATTAAAAAGGCAATGTAGCACTATAGGATGACTATTTTTAAAGGAGGGGTGTGGAAACATAAATATATCCATATGAAATAATCTAATCTGTAGCCTAATCATTGAACTATATAGTACACTGATGAAGATGCTGGTCTTCATCACAGTGGAAGAAATCCTTCTTAGACATCCGTGTTCTACTGAATCGTTTGAAAACTGGATTCATCATTTTGTCATGTGAGATTAGGGTGAACCTCGGAGTGCTCCAGATGGGTGGTGTTCTTTCACATGTGTGTTTGTAATGCAGCTCTGTTGTCGTCCCTCGTGGAGCAACATGATGTGGCTGTGGGGCCGTTAGCACGAAGACCTACACAGATGGCTGGGTGTCAAGTGTGTGTGACACTAAGTAGTTTCTGAGTGGGACAGGATGCTGAGCGGAGAATCTTCTAGAACAGACGGCTCACTGTCGTGTTGGATCAGCATCTTTCATTCTGATATCCAAAGGTAACATCAAGGAATTGTTCTTATGTAACCGGTTCCCTCAGACTTGAAATGATGTTAACTACAGTACAGTCACACTGGGCCCTTTGATTGACAGCTCTATTGTGTCTAAACTGAATGTGGAGGTCAGGAACAGCTGACTGACAGACTGATGGGACAGGTCCATCCACACAGACTCCTTTAGCTTTCTCAAGGTCAGCTACACACAGCTCCTTCCCAGGCGTCCTCGGATGAATTTAGACCAACATGATGGTATATGTATATATATATATATATAGACCTTTATTTCCATCAAAAGATATGTCATCCTTTGACATTAAACGGTCATATCACTATAGATATCCAACATAATGCCTATTTACATTGAGAAGTTTGTTCCTATAGATTTTTGAGCAGTGTAGTTCCGTTGGATAAAAGAAACCAAAAGAAAAAAATAGTTTAGAATTGCATCTATCACAACATTGACTAGTTCAACTGTAATTGTACATTTCAAAGAGCTTAATTAATAAAATACTCGGAGGAGACAAGGCATATCTTCCTGCACTGCCTTTTGAACAGTTGAAAAAAGATTATCATCGCATGTCATCTGTTAATAATGAATGATTTAGGCATGATAAATGCTTTTTATATACCGTAAATTCCGGACTATAGAGCGCACCTGAATATAAGCCGCACCACTTAAATTTAGAATGAAAAAAAGATGTGTAAAGATATATAAGCCGCACCGGTCTAGAAGCCGCAGGTGTCCACGCCAGTGACGTGCGGTCGCTGGAGGCAGCGCCTCCCCTTGTGTCATCATGAAATGTGAAAAAATAATGATTAAAAAAGATATATACAGTTGTGTGAAAAAGTATTTGCCCCCTTCCTATTTTCTTTGTTTTTTGCATGTTTGTCACACTTGAATGTTTCAGATCTCCAAACAAATTTAAATATTAGACAAAGATAACACAAGTAAACACAAAATGCAGTTTTTAAATGAAGGTTTTATCTATTAGTCTGGAAAAGGTTACAAAGCCATTTCTAAAGCTTTGGGACTCCGGCGAACCACAGTGAGAGGAACAGTTGTGAACCTTCCCAGGACCGTTCAGCCGACCAAAATGGCCCCAAGAGCGCAGCGACGGACTCATCCAAGAAGTCACAAAAAACCCAGAACAAAGAACTGCAGGCCTCACTTGCCTCAATTAAGGTCAGTGTTCATGACTCCACCCTAAGATACTGAGCAAAAATGGCCTGCATGGCAGAGTTCCAAGATGAAAACCACTGTTGAGCAAAAAGAACATAAAGGCTTGTCTGAGTTTTGCCAGAAAACCTCGCGATGATCCCAAAGACTTTTGGGAAAATACTCTGTGGATTGATGAGACAAAAAAACCCCCTTCTTTTTGGAAGGTGTATGTCCCATTAAATCTGGTGTAAAAGTAAAACGGCATTCCAGAAAAGGAACATCATACCAACAGTAAAATATGGTGGTGGTTGTTTGATGGTGTGGGGCTGGAAGACTTGCTGTGGTAAATGGAACCATGAATTCTGCCGTCTACCAAAAATCCTGAAGGAGAATGTCCGGCCATCTGTTCGTGACCTCAAGCTGAAGCGCACTTGGGTTCTGCAGCAGTACAACTATCCAAAACACACCAGCAAGTCCACCTCTGACTGGCTTAAGAAAAACAAAATGAAGATGTTGGAGGGGTCCAGTCAAAGTCCCGACCTGAATCCGATCAAGATGCTGTGGCATGACCTCAAAAAGGCGGTTCCTGCTCGAAAACCCTCCAATGTGGCTGAATTACAACAATTCTGCAAAGATGAGTCCAAAGTTCCTCCACAGCTGTAAAAGAGTCATTGCCAGTTATAGCAAACGCTTGATTGCAGTTGTTGCTGCTAAGGGAGGCACAACCAGTTATTGGGTTTAGATGGCAATCACTTTTTCACACAGGGCCATGTAGGTTTGGATTTATTCCCCCTTAATAATAACCTTCATTTAAAAACTGCATTTTGTGTTATCTTTGTTTGATATTTAAAATTTGTTAAATTTGTTGTTAGCTTATCTTAGTTTGTTGATGATTAGCAAGGAGATTGACATTAATTTGTGCATCTCATTCATTCACTTCGCTCATGACATCCTGAATTTTCCTCTTTGGCTAAAAAGTGCCGTAAATCGGTTGTGAAAGCTCGCATTTCCCAAAACTGCTCATTTGCGCCGTTTCCGGGCATTTTTTAGGCGATCGCTACCGAGCTAATAACTGAAATGACAACCAACATTCAACCAAATATCTGTTGTTTTGATCACCGCACTGATCTGAACGCTCAGGTCAATGTAAACAGATAACATTACATTATGGCTCAATTCAGTTACACCCCGTGACTCACTCTCAACCAATCAGAACGCTTATTTTAACTTCCCCATATTATAAAAGAATATACGATACAGGATATGAAACATAACCAGTAGTCGAAGCGCAAGCAGCGAGTTGAATGGTGAATTTATGCTACTTTGTTGAATTCATATATTTGTTAATCTTAAGAGTCAGTGCCTCCACAGCCACGAACCTCACTGCACGTCACTGGTCCACGCGGCAGAAAAACCACTGCTGACACAGAGTCGTCCGTGCCGGAGTTCTTCACATTGCGTCTGCAACGTCTCACCATTGATTGACAGATTGGTTGCTCGGAACTTGCACCTGTCTGTCTCGCCCGTTAGCGCGTGAAAAATGATACATTAGCACGGTTGTATAAGCCGCAGGGTTCAAAGCGTGGGAAAAAAGTAGCGGCTTATAGTCCAGTCCATAGTCCATTTCCGGTGTATATAGTCTATATATTCTTATGCTAACATGCCACACACAGATGAAGCGTTTTTACTGAGAGGATTATTCTGTTCCTCTAGGACACAGAGGTTCACAATGCTACACAACATGCAAAATTTAGCTGCACAATATGTTGATTGCCTGCCATAAAAATGTTGAACAAGTGGATGCAGACTGAAGTCTGTACCAACGGAGACTGTCAGGGGGACAGCTGTCTCCTATGAACGCATTCAGCAGGTCCACGTTACTCACCGTTTAGTCACTGCGCTTCTTTTTTCTAATCCCCATGATAATCCCGTCATGGGTCACATGACCTAGCAATCTCTCCCGCTGGCTCTCCCTGCAGTGCTCATTAATTTGATGTTAACTGTACAAACTGAAAATGTCTAATAATGGATGCCTGAGGGTTGATCCCATAAGTTCTACTTAATGTTCACTTTAGTTTATTTAGCCTGGTTTTTAGTTTGGTTGTTGCCGCTTGACCTTTTCCTGACAGAAACTGGATGAACCTCCGCGATGCAGAGACGGGCAAAGTGCTGTGGCAGGGAACCGAGGACCTCTCTATTCCAGGAGTAGAGCATGAAGGTACTTTAGACACACACACACGAATCGTGGCACAGCATGTTTCTTGGGGCCTTTTTTTGTCAGCCAGTATTTACTTTGTCATTAGCTGAGAACTATGCATTCAATTGGCACATTTAAATTGGTTTGAATAATTCTAGTTTCATTGTCTCTGCAGCTCGCGTCCCAAAGAAGATCCTGAAGTGTAAAGCAGTGTCCAGAGAATTAAACTTTTCCTCTTCAGAGAAACTGGAAAAGTTCAGACTGGAGCAGAAAGTGTTCTTCAAAGGACAGTGTCTAGAAGGTAATCTGGACTTTTTAAAGGGACAGGGACCCAAAGGTTGGTCAGTTAAGGGTACCTTAAACTGTTCCATCTCTACGGGTCATTGACTGACGTCCTGTCCATGGTGTATTTAAAAGTCTTTGATGATTCAAACTTTGCATTTCAACTTCCCATACGTACCTTTAACAACACAATGCAGAGCCATTTGATATTGATCAGGGTCTTTGTGTCTTCACGTGGTATCTTTGTAGGATTTCTGATCATTTGTATCAGTTTTCTATTGGTGAAAAATGATTAAATTGAGCCTTGAATAAAAATAGTAGTGTGAGCCCACGCCTTCACCTTACTGTCAATCAGTGGTGGCTGGCCAGTAGAGGGCAATGGGGTGTCGGAAGGAAAAGACAATATTAAATTATTTTAAAAAGCCAATATTTGTGTTTTTGAAACATGTAATGTACCCAGTAAAATATGATATCTGCCTGTCATACAGAGAAGGCGGGTCTAAGAATCACTTTATTTGATTTTGTCTTTGCTACATAACATCCCTCCTGTTTGTCTCTATCAAATAAAGCAGAAAAGTATCTCAAAAGAGACCAACACAGAGAGCTGATTCTTTGTTGCTGTGCGTTTGCAGTGCTTTCCCTGGGGCCCGAGGTTGCAGAGACCCCCAGGGGACCACACACTTCCACACCCAACATAACATGTTTGTGTTGCTGGTTTCGAAGTTGCTGTCGGTCACTATGCTCCACCACAGTGCAGTTCTGTAATGATATTGTATGTTCTGAGGGCTACACTTAACGCTTTGTCTTCCGTGTCTCTGTCCAGAATGGTTCTTTGAGTTTGGGTTTGTTATCCCCAACTCCACCAACACATGGCAGTCTCTGATAGAAGCAGCTCCAGAGTCCCAGATGATGCCAGCCAATGTTTTAACGTGAGTCTCCAGCTCTCACCCTTCAGCATCCTGCTGACACTCCCTTTGTCCACCTATGAGACGTTATACCAACACAAGAGGGTAATGTTTTAATGTTAATTGTGCACCTTCAGGAATGTATTCAGATGTTTAAACGACCAGATGATTTTTGATTAAAATTACCCTTTTTAAAATGTGGGTTTTCATCATTTTCAGTTCAGTTCTGACAACATTATGTACTTAAGTTAGTAGTTGATGTCTGGGAGCGTACTACACGTGCGTGATGGGTCAGAAATACAAACCATTGGTTAGGAAAGAGAATAAAAAGCTTGCTGCTTCCCCTTGGACCATGTGTCCCTGCTATCGTGTATTTCCTGTGCTATGTTCACACTATGAGCGACAAAAGCAACAAAAGGGCCAGCTTGTACGGACAGAACTGATGACTTCATCTGTTGTCCGCTACACCTTCGAGCCACTAGAGAGCACCTGATCTTTAGGATAATCATAAGACTACTGCAAACATTATAAATAATGAGCTACGTTCAATTCTGTTTGTGTTATTGATGAGAGGAGAAAAAAAGAGCATATCAATTCAATCACAATGTATATTGTTACACTGGTTAAACTAAATTGTTTGTTGATTCTTAGTCATGTTGGTGTATTTATGCTAATGTTACATAGACTACACAACACAGTAGTGTACTTCTGGTAATGTTGCCACGTGTCTCTGTTCCAGTGGTAATGTGATCATAGAGACCAAGTTCTACGATGACGATCTCCATGTCAGCACCTCCAGGGTACGACTTTTCTACGTCTGACCTCTAACCCTCTGACTCTACCCTTCAAAATGCTGATGTCCTGCCAAGTTCCTGAGGTTAGCTACAGCAGTAAACGGCTCATTGCGTACTTGGGACCAGCGCATCTGGATGAAAGCCAGCTGTGGTCCACAAGCAGTGAAGTGAGCTTTGTGTTTGGTTGTTCTCTTGTTTTGTGCCGACCTGAAAACTTCCTCTAGAACTTTGGAGAAGAGGTGAGAAGAGGAGGGAGCCCTTTGCTGTGCCCTCTGTTCCGACATCCTCTCTTTCTGCTTATCCCCCTTCAGACATTTCCACTGTACATACATTGATCACCAGTCACTCTCTGGTTTGGGTTTCTTTAGAACTGTGCTCTCATTCAAAGGTTGCATCTACTCAGGAACAGAGCATCAGACGTGTAACCTTTCCGTTTGGAAACACAGCTCTCCGTATGTTGTCACTGTTGAAGGACCAAGTTTAGTGCCTCTCCCGAGATACTTTCCATATCACAAAACCGTTAGCTGTGTCCCACTACAGAGGCCTCTCGTCTCACAGGCCTGTGAAGTCCTCATCTTTTTCTATACTCTACAAGAACACAACAAGTTTTTTGTTTGTCGTCTTTAATATCACAAAACCCGGTTACGTTTAGTCTACTTGTCAATTCCAAAATATTTGTGCATATCATCAGTGAATTGAACGCTACATTTGAACAATGAGAGATCAACCCTAAAATGTCCACTTCTACGAGCGGACAAGGACTGCCTGAATGCATCGTTAACGGTGGTCTCTGTGAGGTCAAGTATTGTAACTGATGGAGGATTGGTCCTCTGAAGGACACAGCTCTGTAGGCAGCCTCTGAAATGGGACACAGCCTCTACCAAGTAACCCTTTCCTGTTCCTGACAACATGACCCGGTTTAGAACGGAGCTTCTCCGTGCGCTGTGACGGATAAACCACTGGGGCATCCCTGTCGCTTTTTGCCTGTATTGTTTGAAATGATGTCATGACTCATGGTTGAAAAGTACTATGTTTGGGAGTATTGATCAGTGTAAAGGGGGTTTAAATACATCCACTTGTACTCAAATACTCAAGGTGTAAACAGAGCCCTGCACCGTTTATCCTCAGAAGGTTAAGATGTTACCAGCGGCTAAACTCAGTTCTTCCTTGTACATTCTGGCTTCCCATCCAACTCACTGTTTGTATTTTCTTAGCTGCTAACTGAGCAGTGTACAATAGACTTGTTATGATATGAGTTGTGGATTAAAGTCATCCAATGTTGTAATAACATTGTGTTTATGTTCTTTATTGTTCTGTCCTCAGACACTATCCACCCTGATATGAGTCCCTGAAATGAGGAAGTATAATGCCGTGGATGTGTAACTGCACTGTGTCGCTTGGTTGGGCTTAGCTGAATGTTGACTGATTATTTGAGCTGATACAAGTAGGAAAGCACTTCGGCTGATGTCACGTCTGTGTGCATGTGATGTGGTTTCTCAGTTCAGACAACTGTTAAATTCCACATGCATCCTGCTGTAAATAAATCCCCTTCTTCTTACAAAGAGTCACTTCCTAGTCATTTTGGTAGGCTTACCCACTTATTGGTGTAGAGTGGGTGCATTGGAAACCGCTGGGTTGGCAGTTCGATCCCTGGCTGCTCCATGTCCATGTTGAAGTGTCCCTGAGCAAGACACCCAACCCCTAACTGCTCCCCGGGCAAAATGTCACTATGGGTTAAAAATGCAATGTCAGTTGTTCAGCTAAATGACATGTAATATTACTGTATTAATGCAATATGTATACTTAAGACCTAGATCCAAAACAAGACTCTGATGGCTTAACAATCTGTACACATAAAGGAACCTGTGCTATGTGCACACTATGAGCGACAAAAACAACGGGTCAGGTCGGACTATTAGACCCACCTTAGAGCTGGTGTCTTCAATGTTTTTCAGGCCAAGGTCCCCCAAACTGATGGCGAGATGGAGCAGGGACCCCCTATTCTACGGAGTTTGGTCCACCATCTTTTATTTTTGAGCTTCACGCTCTTTAGACGTGAGCATAAACGCAATCTGATTGGCTGGTACCTGTCGTATCAGCATGAAAGGTGCTGTGAATGAACCGGTGCCCAGCTTGAGCGCTCCTGTGGGAAGCTGAATCCGATAACGTCTTCTCCATGAATTTATCCGTTCGCTACAATATGTTGGATTCATATTCATGTGTATTTAAATTGTAATTCTTTGTTATCGGGCTGCTCTTGTAAATCTCTTAAGCCTCTCCAGTTGATTCAGAACGCTGCAGCACGTGTATTAACAAGAACTAGGAAAAGGGATCATATCACTCCTGTATTAACTTCTCTGCACTGGCTCCTTGTTAAATCAAGAGAAGAATTTAAGGTACCAATGAGTACCTTGTAAGTGAGGCACAGTCTTAAGAGCTTGTAACCCCGTATTGCCCTACAAGGCAGCTGCGCTCCATAGATGCTGGGTTACTTGTTTCTAGAGTTTTAAAAAGTAGGCTGGGGGCCGGAGCCTTCAGTTATCAAGCTCCTCTTTTGTGGGACCAGGTTCCACTTTCAGTCCGGGGGGCAGATTTGGTCAGCTATGTTAAGATAATGCTTAAAACTTTCCTCTTTGATTTTGCTTATAGTTAGGGCTGGCTCAGGTTAACCCGGACCAGCCCTTAGTTAAGCTGCTATAGGCTTAGACTGCCAGGGGACTTCATAGGACACACCAAGCTCCTCTCTCACGCTCTCGTTCTACCATAATCCACGTTTTATTAATGCACATGACTAATTCAGCTTCTTTCCGGGAGTTTTTTTGTGCTTTCTCCCCCAGCAGGTCTCCGTAGATCGTGGTTCCTTCTGGACCCTGGTCCTGACACCTGCCGTGGCCCTGCTGATGCCTGCTGCTGCCGCCATCATCATTATTTTAAATATAAACCATATTACTGTACTCGTAAACCAACATTACCCTCTCCTAAAGTCTCTGTGCTCTCCCTCCCCACAGGCTTCTGTGGTGGTTCTATCTGATGGTGGTTCTATGTGATGGTGGTTCTATCTGATGGTGGTTGTCCCTGCAGTGGTCCTGCTGTGCGCTTGGCTTACTACTCACAATTATTTGGATCATTTCTGTCATAGGAATTGCATGTATTGTACATTGTTCATTCTGTACACATGGCATCCATTGTAGTCTGTCCCGGGAGTGGGATCCCTCCTCTGACGTTCTTCCTAAGGTTTCTTCCCTTTTTTTCTCTCTTTGAAGGGTTTTTTCATTGTTTGGGGAGTTTTTCCTGTGCTGATGTGTGGGTTTCTGGACAGAAGATGTTGTATGTGTACAGACTGTTAAGCCATTTAGAGGCAAAATAAAGAGGGTTATAAAAAAATTAATTGAAAGACAATAGAATTCTGATGAATTGTCTTTTCAACCCAAAATTGTGCAACCTCCACGGACCCCCCGGGGGTCATCAGTAAAGTAAGAAAGAAAGCTCAGCAGAGTGGTGTCAGGATGGATTCTGTGTCATAGATGTCATGTGTACAGAATGAACTACATAACATATTTACAAAGTAATATAAGCCATGGAGAAGGTGACTTTAGGTTCTAGTGGAACAGACCAGGTCAGATGTGTGACCTTGGGGGCTTCCAGTCAAGACCATATTTGTTTGCCATTTGGTGCAGTGGGATTTTCAAACAGTCCAGCAGCAGAGTGAGAGGTCAAATGGAGCACAGGGTTAGAAAAGGGCCCATAGTGGAGCAGGCCCACGCCGTAGCCAGGAATCCTGGGAGTCGTGACCAGAGGAGGGGCATCAGCAGCAGCACAGGGAGCTGCTAGACCGCCATCGGCTTCTGTGCCTCCTTGATCTGGTTAAGTGTAGACATCCTTCCTTCCAGCCCTGCGACTTACTCACCCGACAGGACAGTTGGATAAAGAGGTGAGTGGAGCTATTGTAGATGTAGTGGCTGGGAAACTTGAAGTATTTTTGGTTGAATATAGTTTTGACTCAGTTCTTTTTTTTTTCCAATAGAATTTTTTTTCCATATTCATTTGCATTTATTTTTTGATGTTCAGTGGATATGTTTTGGTTGAAGATTTTACATTTTCAGATTCAAATCTTAAACGTTATTTTTTAAAAATTTTTTTACTTTCAGATTGTATTTTTTCACACTCAAGACTGTTGGCCCTGATCTGGCGTAGGGGGCAATTGAACGCAGCGTAGCATCCCTGCGATGGCAGTTATAAAAATATTTTATCATATTTTTCACATCTTAAAATGTGATGTTATAGCTTGTTTACCAATAAAGAACTGCTGCTAATACACTAATGTGCAACTACTGCCTGTTATTCTAAACAACTTTATTAACAAGGGGGTTTTCCATGAAAGATAAGTTTTGATGGGATCATCTACAAATATTCATGACTTTTAACACACACCACGCGTGTGTCAGAGGTGAACTCTGGCAACGGATTCGCTTCTCAAAAGCTTTTGTATAACATCAAAACAAAGAACAACAGTGTGAACATTGATCTGGGCTGCTCATGTGGGGATGCGGCTGCGGAGGTACTCCAACACTGCATCTGTTCCTTTGGCCAAAATGGCGGCTCTGGGTGTGCGGAAAGGATTCCCCTCCAGACCGAGACACCTGGGGAAGAATACACATCTTTACACATAAAATCCATTTTCTCAACTCAAAATGAACACAAATCATTTAGAAAACCTAATTGGACCTGGCCACAATGAAGTACTCGGTATTAAGAGACTGTGCTCTACTAAAAGATAGGACTGAACATAGTTGCCTACTAATCAAGTTAATCAGCTCTAAGAGGAAACGGGGCACATGTCATGGTCAGGGACAATGTCAGCTGGTAATGCTGGGTTGCAGAGAAGAAGCTCAGAAGCCAGCATGGAAAATAGACATACCTGAGACTGGCACACAGGCCCACTTCAGGGGGGATGTTCAGCAGGTCATTGTTTGACATGTCCAGCGTGGACAGATTGACCAACATCTTCAGACGATGAGCGTCCACCTCGCCCACTTGATTGTTACCAATCAACACAGTCTCTAAGGAAACTATCTGATAAAGGACACCAGGGAACGATTTGAACCTGTGATCAGTAAAAACAGAGTGGACAACCTTTAGGAGACTCACTTTACTTTTAGCTAGATGAGCAATATTGCTCCTCTCAATCGGGGAACCCACTGAGGTCCGCCATCTCAGAGGAGATGAGGTGCGACAAGGTCCCTTCTATTCATTCAGCACAATTGATACACATTGGTATACAGGTGAGCAGGTAAAATGATCAGAGAAACATGTATTGAACAATGAATGGTTTGTCAACAAAAAGTACTCGGATTGTAAACAGGGTGCATTACATCAGTCAGAACTTGAGCGTTCTCAAATGCTAAGTCTCCATTTGGATTTTTATTAGGAAGTTGTTCCTGAGTTTGTAAAGATCTCATACGATGTTCAAACGGCAGCAGTAAGGGAGAAACATTTGGTTGCATATTCTCTTTTTACCCTTGAAGTGCAGTATGGGCAACATGTATCAGTGGCCACACAGGGAAGTTGGGATTGTTTATTGTGTATTATTATTATTTACCGCGGCCGGTGTACATAAAGCGACGGGGAGGAAGTGACGTGAGAGGGTTCTTGTTTGGAGTCGGGATCCTGACGTTTGGGGGCTATTTCAGTGTTGACACTGGACGGGTTTGGACAGTCAGAGACTTCGGGACTACGGGGAGCCGGGGATTTATTGATTCATTATTTGTAGAATATATTTTGTTTTGTTGTATTGCATCGAATTTAATTTAGCAATAACATCCAGGCTCAAACTGACAGTTTGGTTTCGTGTGTTGTTTTTGTTCCCTGTGCCATTCATAGGACGGGTTCATTTTGTTATATTACACTATAGCAGTGACTGTATGTCCATTAACAGTCGATCCGCCCATTCCCTTTTAATTTAGCGTTGTGCATTTTTCCCTTTTTAAGTTAAACCAGGGGGGGAATTGTTATACGCTAAACAGCAATGTTTATGACAGCGTTCTTTGTTTAAAGTCATTGTGTTTATTTTATTTCAGTTTTGTCCTGGTTCAGTAATTCAGCTGTTAATTTGTTCTATGTATCAATAGAGGTGGACGTGGTTGGTACAAACATGCCAGCAGAACTAGACCGCAAAGGGAAAGTGCGGATGTGAGACAGTTTGGGTCCATTTGGGCCGGACGTTGGGGGTTGAACACACACGTTAGTGCACGGGATAGGGTTGGGAACAGCAGAGAACCGGTCCAGTTAAGCCCACGGTTTGTGATGGACTTCTTTAAGGTGCATATTTTCTGTAATCAGCAGCAGTCAATACACTTCTTTTCATGGAATCTCTGACGCCAATCAGGAAAAGACCATAAAAACCAAGTATATTGTCCAAATTCAAGCACAACAGCATAATGTTTTTTATTTCCTTCTAGTCAGACAGTGAGAAGCATCTGATGAAAACTAAATGCTTTTTAAAACGAATTGTTGGCACTGTAATGGTATCATTTGTATTAATTAGTACTCAAAATGGTAGGAGTGCATCTCTCGTCTTGTCCCTCCCTACGGTTAAAGTCCCTGATTTGTTTGGTAAGCTGAGGGGCACCGACGACACATTATGCATTCATGTGTGTTTTAAGGATGCTCCTCAAAACACACATGAATAAAACAGAAGCAGCCGACAGGGGTGTTATGTGATGAACATAGGTTCCACTAAAGGATTTGTGTAGTTAGTGAGTTACCTGTTGTAATTGAGGGTAATAGAGCGTAGCTTATTTAAGTTCTTCATCTCAGATGGTAGATCCGTCAGCTGATTATTCCTGAAACACGAACAGACCTACATTAACCCGTTGACAATGCTCATCCATGGAAGTAGAGTGGAAGCAGATGCCAGCAAGCACCCTGGACTTAGTACCTAAGGTCCATGTGCATCAACTGCAGGAACTTGCAGACGTCAGGAGAACAACAGGTGAGTCTGTTGAACGCCAGATTGAGGTCCGACAGGGAGGCTGAGAGCTCAATCAGTCTGCACACACATAGCACACACATCTGGTCAGCCATCGGTCATGTGTAATGGAAAAATGTATGTGACCCTTCAAAATGTTTCATTGAATGAACAAGGTTATAAATTGCAAATGCTGGGATGGTGTGGCCGTGATAAAGAATTGAGCTGGAGTGTCTCACACCGATAAGATGCCAGTCTCCTGCCTGTAGAGACAACAAGTTGTCAGCAACATGTGTGTGTGTGTGTGTACCTGGGGGGTATGGAGGTCAGCTGGTTCTTGCTGAAGTTGACAGTGGTCACACCTTGATCTGTTGCAGCATCAAACAGCTCATCTGGAATATCAACTGCCTGCTTCTCACTAAACAGAAACACACACAAGTTACTCTGAAGTGGATGTCATATCATGTTAGCATAGATGCTGAGACCATTTAATGTGCGAACAGCGAACAAGCCTCTGCTTCACACTGGATTAGAGAGTCACATTAAGTCCAAGTACACAACTAACACGCTCTGATGAAAAAGGTTAACACACAAGTGCACTAACCTGTAAGCCAACGACTTAAGAGTTTTAATATTGTGTACATTGACCCTGGCCTGGCTGGGTAACGTCATAGCGGTCTGTCCTTCCTCTGCGCTCTCAGGATCTCCTGCAACACACACGCTCAGTCAGTTGCTCCTGTTTTAGAGCTACATCCACGCTAATGTTTGACCATCCTTTTCTAAATGAACTTCTCTGCTAAGTAGCCACCAGGAAGGTGGAGTGGTTTATTGTTATTATAATATGGGTAGATGAAATCCAGCGTTCCGATCAAGAGTGATTACACGGGTGCATTATTGAGTGATAATGCAAAGTTGCTGTTCACAGGTGAGATTTTGCACGACCGCTAGTTGACATTTTAACTTTGAGCTTGGTGACGATCCACGAACAAAGCCAGGAAATCCCACAAATGATCGGTTTCGGGCAATGCGAGCTTTTGCAACCAGACAATTAAGGTGGACATCATGAGCGGCACGGGACCCGATGCTGTTTACATGCACGTACGGGGACAATTCTTTCTCTAGACTACGGAAATTAGATACTATTTATAATTTTGCTGGTAACCGTATTATAAAAGCAATAAGGTAGAAGAACTCTTGGTAGTCCATGTCAAAAGAACTCCTGGTAGTCCAGGTCAGAAGTACTCCTGGTAGTCCACGTCAGATGAACTCCTGGTAGTCCACGTCAGATGAACTCCTGGTAGTCCACGTCAGATGAACTCCTGGTAGTCCACGTCAGATGAACTCCTGGTAGTCCACGTCAGAAGTACTCCTGGTAGTCCATGTCAGAAGTACTCCTGGTAGTCCACGTCAGATGAACTCCTGGTAGTCCACGTCAGATGAACTCCTGGTAGTCCATGTCAGAAGTACTCCTGGTAGTCCACGTCAGATGAAGTCCTGGTAGTCCACGTCAGATGAAGTCCTGGTAGTGCTGCCATATGGCGGCATACAGGCTCTCTCCAGCTTCTATCTTATACTAATATTACATAGTGGTTGCTTGACAGCTGCTTTGTATGCAGTTGTGACTGAAGCCTTACACTTCCAGTGAACTCCTGAACACTCTCTAGGCACAACTGTACCTTTGATTCTTCCTCTTAAGTATTTCAGAAGCACATCGGTTCCTTTCTGCAAGGATGACATCAGAAGAACATCAACATGAATGTTAGTTATTGTAAACATTACCAGCTGATACATACACACAGAACATCGGTTACACATCGACTGCAGCAGCTGTGCTCTTATCTTAAGATGTATATAAGAGGCCAACTTTCCTTACGCATGTGTAGCAAAGTTTTAACATGACAGCTGTACTTTAATAGTGAGTACACTAATGAAATTGGGCGCGGGTGGATTTTTGAGAGGGTTGAGTGTAATCCACAAAGCGAGCCAAAGTAGAATACTCTATCCTACATAAAAGCTGGTTGCAGTTTGCTTTTCTTAAATGAACTTCACATTGAGACAAACCATGTTCCCTAATAATAAATATACTTTTTCACATGTTCATTATATACAATATGGTTAAAGTAATTCATGAACCAACTTCCTTTTTAGGTCTGAAGGGATTGGAGGGAAATGAAGACGCTGTAGACATCTTAACGCTGATTGGCCGGGATTCATCACGTCACATCAAACATGTTTTATCACCTTTCTCTCGGTCTCACCCCAATCTCAGAAATGCTCTGTGTGGTACTTACAGTGAGCAGGTCTCTCCTGATTCCTCTTAGAGGGTTTCCCTCCAGCAGTAACACCTTCA